TGCAAAGATAATGAGCATATGATAAATGACTACAACCCTGCAATGTTGTTAGCTTGAGAAGGCGATATGGATCTGCAATTTATAGAAAAGTCAACAATTCTAAATTGGTATATTACAAAGTATACAACTAAAGCAGAAATAAAGTTGTGGCAATACTGCATTTAATGAGCTAACTTCACCAATTCTCTAGCTAGTCATTTATGGAATGTTGCACTAAGGAGCCTTTCTCATCAAGAATGTGGTGCTCTGGAAGCTAGTGACACATTACTGTCTTAACACTGTTTGGCACAGATCCAGGTACTGTATTACAATGGATTGATGTAAACATGGGTTGGAGTCATAGAGTTAACACATTCGCGGCGTAAGTTATTTTTCTAATTATGCAATACGAACGTAAGGCCTCATTGTGAACTTTACCTTAGATACAGCTAATTTCACGGCTTTATATTATGTTTTATGACAGAATGACTGCATTGAGAACTTTCTCTTGAGTGCACCACTGATGGTACATGATATCCTGTCTTTACCCATTTAAGCTTTGGCTGTCATATGCCACTGGTGGTGCACACTATGATTTAAGTAATAATAATGAAATCATTATAACATTTAATATTTTTTTCAGCCTAATCTTGCCAATTTTTTAGAAGAATAATGAATATTTCACAATTTCATGGTCATAAAAGAGAGACATCAGATAATATAATCCCTACTGTGGATGATAATAGTTCTATTCTTATTATATTACAGTCTTCATAACAGTTTTTCTTATTTATGAAACAAGTCTCAATTAATGTTTTTTTGCTTCAATTATTCACAGTGAAAAATGTAATGCCAATCTTTAGATGTAATTTTAACATAAAAAGTGATTTAATCATGTAAATTAGCTTTATTTCTGTTGCCCTTTCAACATGGCATCCGTGTTCCACCAGTGGTACATGATGGAAGGCATAGCTTTATTATAACCATCCGTATAAAATAAATACTTCATAGAGGACTTTGGAGATATGAGGTACAGTTATATCTTATGGGTGTTGTGTACCACAGGTGGCTCACGATGTTCAACAGAAAACATACATATGTACCACCAGTGGCACACGATGTTGTGAACATGTGAAAGAGCATCACATTACAACTGGGTTGCCTGAGGCTTCCAAAGATCTATTGTATCCTTCTTGTATTGATATTTATTATCCCAACAGGCCACCTGAGCTTGAGGATATTAATCTATATGATTTTCTAGCTTGGTATGACATTGTGAACAAGCAGCACAGTTATAATGCTACATTCTATCTTATGTTTGACCACTTCTTAACAAAATGTCTACAACCATACATAATCATCCATTACAGATATAATCCACAACAAGAACCAGAGAAATACTTCTATTCTACATTGTTGTTGTTGTTTACGCCCTGGAGAGAATGCAATAGCCTAATGGGAGACTGCTCCAATTACACCGAGACATTTAATGCTAGTAAAGATATCCTGTTGAATGGTTTCAAATACAATGGCCAATTACTTCATTTGCCAGGAGCAGACACAAAAGTACGTGAACTAATTCAAGAACATCGAGCACAGATTTAAGCTGAAGAACGGTAAAGTAGTGGCCCTCCTGCTAGTGATCAATTGCACCATGTTGCTATTCAGGCACATAACTCTTTGGTAGAATTTGAAGATCTCATTCACTATGATGAACAAATAGATGTGGATGAGATGATTGGAAATTTGAATGAGGACCAGCTGAGGGTGATCAACAAGGTCAAGACTACCATAGATGCCCAACCAAATGCCGATCTGGGTTGCAATGCCAAAATATCTAGGCTTTTTGTTAGTGGGTCTGATGATACTGACAAGAGTTTTTTAATAAAAACTGTTAAAGCATGGGTTCAATCAACAACTGGTAAAGATGTTGCCATTGCAGCACCCACAGGTATTCCTGCATTTAATATTAATGAGTTAACTATTTACCAACTGCTGATGCTGCCAGTGGGACATGGAAAGATGCTACAATATTGGCCCATGTCTGATGTTGCCCTGAAATTGTGCTTGAAAAGTTGCATAATGTTATATGACTCATCATTGATGAGATAGCCATGGTCAGTAATGTGACTCTAATGTAAATATATCATAGCTTATTGACATTTTTCAAACTGAGGAAGCTGAAGATGGATGGTTTGGTTGATAAAAATTAATGTTTTTAAGGGACCTTTTACTGCTACTGCCAGTTTTGAAGGTCCAGGGTATACTCCTCTTCTCACCACAGGCTGCTTAAAAGCATAATGGATGTGTGGGCACTGTAAACTTGTGAAGAAATGTGTTTTCCTATGATGAGTTGCTGATAAATATGTAACAGAAAGAAGAGCAAGGCTTTGTTTCTATGCTATCCAGAATTCGTCTTGATCATGTTACTACCGACAGTCTCAGGATGCTAGAAGAGCATAAGTTGTGTTTCAATGATGACAGCATAAGTGGAAGAAAGAAAGAAGTGTAAAAATCACTTTCTGACCTTCCAACTGACACAGTGTATCTGTTACCCACCAGACATGTGTGATGAGCTAAGCAAAGAAATGCTTAAAAATCTTAATGGAGAACAAACTGTTTGCTGGCTATAAATACTGTGGATTGTCCTGGGTATTTTTGTTCAAAAGTCTCCAAAAAGTTTTCTAACTACAGTGATGACAGTACTTTCACAGCTACCTTAGAAAAAGATATAGTCATAAAGACTGGCTGCAAGGTTATGTCGAAGAGAAACAATGACATGACTCTTGGACTCATAAATAGTGCAATAGGTACTGTGTGTTCTGTTAAGTATAACATAGATCAAGCCAGTGTGATTCATAGCATAAATATAAAGTTTAGTCATGAACATGAATTGGAGAAAGAAAATACCAAATTCCAGTTGTTGGATAAAGCTGTTGTCATCAGATGCCAGTTTCAATTTGCAATTGCATATGCTAACACCTATGCAAGTCACAATATTTAACTCTGCACAATGTTGTTACATACATTGTCAACACAATCTTTACCTGTGTCCAAAGCTATGTGGCAATGTCTAGAGTCACTAGGCTGTCTGGTCTTCACTTGATAAACATAGATCCTCACTCTACAAAAGCATTGTATTCTGCTGTGATGGAATATGTTTATCTCTGGCAGAAAGTTTGACCCATGTTCCCATTATTAACTTCCTAGAAGAGGTCCAAAGCAGTTCCTGACAGACAGTGGTGTGCAACAAAATCAACATTGATAATTCAGCAGCAATCTGGTAATCATTCAGCACAATTGTTAACTTTTTTACCAAAAAAAAAAAGTTTTTCCGTATAGTGATTGATTGATTGTCAAGCTATGGTAACAGCATATTACAATGCATTCTATGTAGCAAAGCTGTGTATTTCAAACTTATTAAATACTCAAATTAATCTATTAAACAGTTGACCAAGAACTATGAAAGTGTTGATCAGACAGCTTTAAATTGCACTAGTATTTGTAATGAACTTGGTGATCCATTTGATACACACTGTCAACAAGATCCTGTAGATTTTCTTCAAGCACTTGTGCACCATTATACTAGCCTTTCTTCTTTGATAAACCATTGTGTTACTACAGAAACTTTGTGCACTAAATGTAACAAAATTATTGCTATAGACAAGAAATAAATAGTAATGAATATTTTGGTTTCTGCTGCTCAAAAAGACATAAGAATAGATGAGTTGTTTAACCTGCTCAAGAGTGGACAGTGCATGATAGTAATTTATGTAACAATTGTAATACACCACTCATGGTGTGCAACCAGTTTGGCAGTGCTCAACAGTTAATTGTATTTAAGCTTGATGATTGGAAAAGTACAACAGGTAGTGGTAAGGTAAGGTGAAAGACTATTATCAACTCTGTGCTTAGCAGTTCTATGTAGGTAGGAGATCATATGTTTAAACTGAAATCAAGGGTACACTACAGGCAAGACAAGAAGGCTGGTGTTTGTTATACAAGTGTAATTTCAGTGAATGGAAAATGGATTCACTGTAAGGATCAAGCTTTAACAACTACATCTTGGCCCAAAGGGGCAAAAGATTTGTATTTGTTTTTTGTATGAGAGCACTTCTTGCATTAGCAAGAACTCATTATCCATACCTGCACAATGAGTTAAATTGTATGATGTAGAATTGCCAGTGTCCAATGATGCTTTAAAGAAAGTTAGTAGCAAATTTAAAAAAGGCAGTTTGTAGCATCAATTAACTGTGGAAAAGAAGGCACCCATAAAACAAAAATTTTTACCATTTGTTAAATCTGTTCCACTTATAAAAAAAGACATGGTGTTGTTACTTTTTAGCAAAATACGCCTTGGATATGAAGCATAAGGATAAATCTAAAGTAGTTGAGTCCACTACAGCTACTTACAAAGACTGTGAAATAATTACTGTTGATATACCCATTGTAAGAATAACTGAATGGCCTGATTACAGGTGTTATCCTGTTAATGAGCAATGGCAGAGACAAGCTTCTAATTTACTAGGCCTGTAGTTTGTGCATCCATTTCACACATTTGCCTTGTATAGAACAACTCTGAACTAGATTTCACAAGTAGCTTTTGTATGGAAGATTTATTTCATTAATTTACACTTGTATAAACCAGAAGTTGAATATTATGGATAACCTAAACTCATAGGAATGATGACAAATATTAGTTACTACCCATTCTGCTTGTTTTCACAAAAAATTAACATTGGGACTTCACATTTCTTAGTTTATCATAACTAAAAAAACACAATATGAATAATATCAAATCACTGAGTTAAAGTTTTTCTTCATCAATGAGTAGTTAATTTAAGAACTTTACAAACACTCTACAAATACTTTTCCCATGTTGTTTGGTATCATTTTTGTGTACATACATGTATGTGTGTAATGTAACTTTTAATTAGTGACTTTTGCAACTAATGTTAACTATTAGTGGCATTACAAAAATTATGTTATAAAGAAAAAAGGGAAATAAATTCAGACATTACCAGTTTGGTCGGGGGCAAATGATTTTCTGTGATTCAGCTTTACAAATCAGCAAACAATTGCACACACATCGTACATACTTCTTTCCAGGAGGAGCATTTTTTATTGGCTATACCAATAGAAAGAAAAACATTCTAAAATAGGATAACTTCATTTACTTGTTTTCACTATTTATATTTAGAAAAGATTTACAGCTTGAATGACTTAAATTTCAAAGTTATGAGGAAAAAATGTTCATATTAGAGACACATTTTTTACAATTTATGGTACGGATTATTGAATATGTTAGTTTCTCATCATGTATCCACCAGTTGCTTTTATGAAAACAATTTTAGTTGCTCTATTAAAATAAAAAAAGGAGAGAAAATTACTTTACACTTCATATATAGTATGCCAATTTAACAAAATATTTTCCAAACCCTTAAATATGGGATGAATTATAATGATTGTACATACCATATTATGGAGATAATATTCAATATTATGTTTAGGCAATGCATTCTTTCACAATATTTTGTTGCATATAAAAAAATTAACCATCTTCATAATTCGAAATGCTTATTTAATATAAATTTGCAAAATCCAGGTTGTAAAATAAAAAACATTGATCTCTAACTCAAAAGAGTATATATAAAAAAGTGAATGAAAAAAATCTCTCAAGTATGAGACAAAAATATGGTTGCCTTCCTATAATCATATTCAGCATACAAGTACATAACATAGTTAAATATTTCTTCATCTAGCAATTTGTTATTTAATTGGTAACTTTTGTATTTAAATAATTAAAGAATACTAATTATTACCGTTGCCTCATTGCAGTTATTGCATTTCACAACAAACTGGTTTAATTTTCCTTGAATGTCAATCATTGTGTGACAGACTTTACAAGGGATCATTGGTATTTCTGCACCTGCGGATGAAGAGTAAGGTGAATATGGAGGAGGAAGAACATTTTCAACTTCCAGATGTCCTTCATTTTGTGTTGGTGGTGCTGAAATAATTATAAATACAAATAGCTTGATAAAATGAAGATACAATCTTACAAATATACAGATATAAACTGAACAAAATATTTACAACTCTGCAGAAAACTTTTCTGTTATTACTGAAGATTGAAATGCTTTTCAAATATTAAAATATCCACTTCCTGTCTTAATGACTACCAATAATTCCTATTTATCTAACAGTACATTCAAAACTTGGATCACAAAGACAATAACTTAGTTTATTTGGGAATAGCCAGTAAATACAAATCTACAATTCAGCATGAATCTGTTTCTTCAGTCAAAATTTTTCTGTTTTTAGCGAGATATAAAACATATATATGTATGTGCATGTGTGATTTTCTTTGAAAACAATTATATAAACACATCTTCATATGGTGATGACATATTGTAATGAAGCAGTTTAAATTATCTTAGGTCTTTGGATGTAAAACGGTTTATTCAGCAAAGTACAACATTTAGTACAAATATATGTATGATATGCCACCAAAATAAGACTGATTCAAATTTCACTAACAGTATTCTTTGTCAGCCCAGTATTGGTTTAAGTAACATAACAGTTTAATAGCATTTCAAGTATATTCTGCTGGTTGTTTGCTGCAGCCAATGAGACCTTTTGCACAATATCAGAGCTTATATGGCCAGATGGTTTACAACATTAAGTTTTATCAAAATGCTACATATATCAGTAGTATAAAATAAAGTAGAGTTTAGAACAAAAGGCAATAGCATACAAGAAATGGCATAGTTGAAGTGCTATTGAACACTCTTTTCAAAGATATTTGAATTATGAGTTTTATTGTGATTTTACAAAACACATACATACCTAGTAAAAAATTTGAAATATTTTAAATGAACAATGCATACCACCTTATGTTATTACATGAAATTAATAATCATTGTGATTTTAATATTAGAAGTCAGAAAAATTTAAACTCAGACTAATTCATAAGCAAAACCATTAGAATTTCTAATTTAATGATTAGTATACCTGATGGGATGTACATTTGTTCATAATTAGAAATACACTGAGCTGCTGTTTAGTGATTTATTGCATGTGAAAGATCTTTTACATATATATATTTCTATCTGGATTTTATACTCTGAGGATTAAGGATGTTTAATCTCTAAGGATCAATAATCTTTTGTCACTTTAACATACACAACTTAAAAATGTGTATACACTAATTAGCTAGAAGGAGGTCCATATATATAGAAAATGCAAATCAATATAGAAAAAGTGAGCAAGGAAAGTCATTTTAATTGTTACATATGTTGCTGGCTATGACCATGAGAATGCTATTGCTTTACAAAAGGTTTTAGAACAATTATTGAGTTGTTAACATAATTGGCTTATGACTTTTGATTATAATAATGCCAAGTAATGCATGTGGATTATCATAATTTTAATTATAAGAACAGTTTTGATGGGAATAACCTTAACAGTGTTATAGAAGAAAATATCTTGGTACTTTGGATTGTCAGTCTCTTAGGCCATCCAGTGTGCCAACTGTTGCTAGTAGTATTGAAAATAGAATTTTAGGTTGTATTTATAGAAATAATGAACAGATTAAATAGAGATGATCATTTCTTTGTATAAGTGCTTGAATATGCCTCATTTGCAATATTGTATTCAGTCTTGAGTTCTATATCTTAAGAAGGACATTGAATTGTTGAAAAGGGTTCAAAGGAGGGCTACCAGGATAACATCTCAGATGGGAATGTTGTAATACAAGGACAGGATAAGATCTTCAAAATTGTTTTTTCTTAAAAAAAGAAAAGTTAGAGAGGATATAATTGAGAGGTTTAAGATTATTAAGGGAACTGAGAATACTGACGCATCATTTTTCTTTAGATTTAATTGTGAGAATGGTAGAAGAAGAGGCCAAGATATACATTTTGGTAGAGTAAGAGTCACCTTCAGCTCATAAAATTTTATCTTTAACAAGGTGGTTGGTTTTTAGAATGGTATGCCTACAGATGAGCTGGATGCAGTAATATTTAGAGGAGTTTAAGAGAGGTCCAGATAAATATTTAAATAATCAGGGTTGGATTTGGTTATTTTTATGAGTGAATGGTACTGCCTCAATGGATGAGCAGACCCCATATTATCCCTTAATGTGATGTTAATAGGATGACATATCAAGAAATCTGTCTCTCTTTTCTAGTCATTCCTATGTTTCGGATGCTTATACCTACATCCCATTAACACACCAGCAGAAAGAGAAGCAAGTTTACAGTATAAATTCCTGCATACCGGATTACAAGACGATGGACCAAACTCCAAAGTAAAACTGAGTAATGGTGATATTGAAGAGCAAAGAATCATATCCCATAAAATGTCAAATACATTTTTGGTTTATGCATTTAGCAGTTTTGTTTTGTTTTCATTCCTATAACTATACATTTTGCAGAAATTAATATTACTTTGAATGTGTAAGTTACTGAAGATGCTACTCACAAAGATTACCTAGTGCAATTACATATTGAAAACTAAGTACATCAAGATATTTGTTCAACAAATCTAATTTTATCTTTATTCAGTAAAATACAGTAAAAAAATCAAACAAAACCTTGTGGCAGGCAATGAAAATGTACAAAATTTTCCCACACAATGCACTCAACAAAAACTACAATCATGTAATTTCTAAGAAGTGGTTAAATATTAACTCAAACTCAACACTTCCACTACAGTATTATTACACATTTCAAGAAATATTAATGATCTGGAAGTGGGGCATGGGGTGACAGGGTTGAATAATTATATTTTTAAAGTAAAAGTTAATTCAAATTATAGATGTATATACATATATATATATATGTATATAATGCAAATTCCTCTACTTACAATTAGTTACATTGTTATTAATAATTTATAGTATACATTACAACGTATTGTATATAAAATTAAAAAGTGCCTGAAAATTAAAATAACCGTATATATGTACAAAAAAACCACAGCCTAGGCTAAACCTATACAACATTACAAGTCATTATTTTATATATACATACAGACCTGTTGGTACTGGTAGATCCAAAAGTCTTTCTCCGAACTGACTTCCTTGAGCATAATTGCGTTGTTCGTTTTGCAATAGTGGGGATTTTTCAGACATCTTCACGAACTTTATTTGATTGTTTCAGCGCTACTTGCTCATTTGATACAAAACTCCTAAAAATACGTCAAAGTTCTCCAACTATTATTATTTATAAAGCATTAAACATGTAAAAACTGAAATGACCTACGTTATTGTATGTAACATAAATTATAATGTAAAAGAAGCTTTATAATTCGCTAACTTTTCAAATTTCAGTTACCACCTACCTTTATACGTTGTAACCATGTGATTTATTATCAAAATTATTTTTTTATTAATGTTTAGGACATGTGCGTCACATCCTTCTGCCAATGTATTGTTAATATAAATATATATATATATCAATATTATTATTAAGCAGTAACATATTACACCATTTTGTAAATTATCACCTGTTGAGACATTTTTAGTATTTTGATTGATTTGCGACGATTTTTCTCAAAAAATAGCATCAAGTTTAAGATGTTATAACTTAGTCTATAAATAAAAGAAAATGTGGAAAAAAGTTAAATTATATAGGTATAATATATAAATTATATATATATATATATGTTAATGTTTCCTATCTAATAATGTGATATCCAGGTTCATTAACATATGCAGAAAGAATCTTGTGTTCGCTGAACGAAGGTTCTACAAATAATGTGCCGAGTTAATTTTCAAACATAGACAACAATAATAAGTAAAGGAAGAACAAATACAAAAGTGGGCAAATAAAACAGGTCTTTATTTAAAAACAGTGATCATATGTATTTTACTTACTGGTTGTCCTCTTTGTTCGGACTTTGACTATTGACATAGATAGATATGTCTTCTTAAGTACTTGCCATAACTAATTAGCAACTAATTTCACATAATTAGTATAGAATATATCTTTAATTAGGCTTATTCAAATAATATTTCAGAATTTTCAAGCAATTTCTTCGGATTATTTGTTAATTACATCTGTGTTGACTAGATGTAGAACGGTTGTAAACACCTACTAATTCCTTTACGCACATAAAAGTTACATACTGCATCAATTCTTAAAATTAGTGTGATATGAAAATACTACGTGTTTCTGTCTTCTTGTATTATAATACTTATTCTGAATTTATTGTTTGTTTCGAATATATGCAGGTTTCTCATATTACACATTCGAGTTGATTTTCTTTCAGGTTAACTTTGTTTCTTTTGTTGTAAGCTATATTTTCAATATTTGAATTTAAATGTTTGTTTGTTAGAGGGAAGTAATCATGTTGATAACTTACTAATCCAGAAATTTGTACAGTACGTACAAAACGAGAACAATATAAATATCAGACTCAGTAAAGTATATGGTGTATTAATGAGTAATCAATGAGTGAATAATTCAGTGCCAATAAGTGAGCTATTCAGTTTTTTGAGGCAATTAGTCAGATAGTTAGCATGTTCCTTATCGATAATTTCTGATGAAATTCTGCAGTTAGGCATGCAGTATTTTCGGAGTATCTACTGAAATATTATTTACTAGCTGAGTTACCCAGCGTTGCACGGTGAAAATTTAGATTTGAAATGTATAGATCGGTATTTTTTTCAGCATATTATTCTCTGAGTAAACCAAAGCTGTGATGTGAGAAATAAAAAAAAACAACATTTAATCAAACAAAGCTTTATTTGAAATTAGATCGTGTTTGAGCTTGAAATCGTACATAATGTTGCTCCTCTGTTTCTTGCTCTCTGTAAGTTATTTGTTTTAATTTTTGTGCTTGAACTCTGGTTTGACGTTGTTCAGAAGTTTCTTGTTGTCTATATCCAGCTTACCTTGATGATTCTGACTGAACTCTGGCTTTGGGCTGTTCAACAGTTTCTTGCTGTCTTTGAGTAGCCTGCCTCTCAGCTTGAGCTCGAAGTCTGACTTTACGTTGTTCCAAAGTATCTTTATGTATTTGAGCAGCCTATCTCGCAGCTTGTGCTTGAAGTCTTTGATGACGTTCTTCTTTTGTTCCAGCTGCTCTTTGTGCTTGCATTCTTTTAGCGGCAGAAGACATTCCATAGAAAGGGCGTTTCTTGGGTGGCATAATCACCTGTATCACTAAACAATAATTTGCAATTCACAAAGTTACTAAATCACTTATGAAACCACTTAGCACTAGTTAAAGAAAACTGATTTTGGAAATACTGAATTGACAGTAAGGTGATCTGAGTGTCTCCCGCCATAACGCTTTCTATTTGTAAAACGTGCTTATGTTTGTATGTTTATTACAAAAAAAAATATATTCAAAAAATGGCGCAATAATCATTAATTGTCAATTTCATCATTAAATACTACACCAAATACAAAATAAATAGCACCATTAAATGTCTTGTAAAAACTGGTTATTATGAAATTATTGTTAGTCTCTGGTCGTTAGTTAATTTCCCGTATAATTTCTTTCCAATGCAACTTTAGCGACATAAGTCCTTTCTTAAATAAAACTAGTTTATTTTTTCTCAATACAACTTTGAAATTCACTTAATTTCCACGGTCACGTTATAATTCACAACGAACGACACACGTGCTCGACCCAACTGCCCGTCTCTATCTCTGTCTGCAATTCAACTGCATTACTGCCGTCACTTCTTGGCGGTTTTATATACAAGAATACTGCATATCTAGTAAACACTCGAGGCTTCACGAAGGGACACGAATTTTCTAGAAGCTCATGACGTGTTACTAGCGTCACGTGACTTCCGCTGTGGTAACATTATTTTAAAATTTGTAAGTTCATCCTTTTGGTTTCCTATAGAACAAAATAAACAAACTTCCTCTTCTATATATATAGATAAAATTAACCCTACAAGTAGAGGCGTAGCAACTGCCCCTCAGACCTCGCAGTGCTGGGGGAGGGGCATAACGTTATACTAAATCAAATATGAAAACAGACTGATGGAAAAATTTGCAGGGGGGACAAAATATTCTGCACTACGCCTCTGCCTACAAGTGAACATAGTGTTACGACAGCGGAAGTCACGCGACGCTGGGAGAATGCGCGCCGGAGTTTCTCGAAGGATCATGAAGCGCCAAGTGCATTCGAGACGCCCTCTTTTTAATATATAAGCCTGGCGAGAAAAACAAGCGCGATCGGCAGAGATATATAATTGAGTCAAGCGAACAGTAGGCACCATAAGTAAAGTGTGTGAATAACTGTGATTTATAGCATGTGTTATAAAGGTTGTTAAGTTTAAAGCGACTGTGGAAATTCTGTGTATTACAAAGTTGTATCGGAAAAGAATAAACTAGTTTTAATTGAGAAAGGACTTGTATCGCTGAAGTTCCTCGGAAAGAATTTATACCGGAAATTAACAAACGACCAAGTACGTAACAATAGCATGTAGCAAACATTCATAAATCTATTCAGTTTTCATTACATAGAATGGAGTTTTGCCATTCCTGTATAGATACGTGTTTTCGCTCGTGGAGAACATTGCTTAATGCAACATTGTATAAGATTTTGACAGCAATGTTCTTTAACAGTTGTTCAGGTGATATATATATAGGTGTTACAGACCAACCTACATGTAATGAGAATGACCAGTCACATGGTAGTACATGTTACACTGGGTATATATATGGTTTATTTGAATCTAATAAACCTGGGATTTGGCAGGCTAGTAGAGGATACTGATAAATCAAGTAGTTAAATTTAACCTGAGAACATCCAATACAAACGATTGTCCAACATATGTAAACTGTAATTTTGTTTTGTATTTATATTCGGTCTCATAATTTTGTTTAACATTATCTGAGAGAAAACACAGTTTACATATTGTTTCCTTGTAAGAATAGTTCAAAATAGTTTGATTGCATTGAATCAAAATGTTTGGGTACAGGAAAACGTCATTAGTGTATCAAGTTCACAAACAATAGCTTAAAATATCATAACCAATATAAATTGTGTGCAGTAAATGTTTTTGATTGCTACAGTCCATATAAGGCTTTCAGTTATACAAATTGAAATATTTATTAGAACACAGTTTTCTGAAAATTTTTTAATATTTTTTCAGTACGAAGAACAACTTGAGATGCACGAAAATATCAACTGTATGTATACATGTAGTGAAAGTTTGTATTTTGCGGCATATCTAGTTCTAAACTAGTAACTGAAAGAAGGATCTAAAAAAAGACAATTAAAACATTGGTGAATGTTAATCGTCAAAAGTGAAGGTTACCTTTCATCTAATTTGGTCAACAAGTGTGCGTGAGATCTAGTTTCGCAGTGAGCATGCTGTCAATTGTTCACAGAAATGACAATATCGATCCAATACTTGAATATTAAACACAACAGCTTAAGTTTACTGTTGAAAATCAGGATGATCATAAACTTCTATTTTCGGACACTCTTATAAATAATAATAACGTACAGTTTAAATGTGAAGTTTATCACAATAAAACTTTCACAGGATTATATTTTAATTTTAAGAGTTTTATTCCCACTGTTTTCTAAAAGAATCAAGTTAAAATACCTTTTCGTCGTGTTTATGAGATATCTAGCAGTACTTTAATTTACATAATGAATTTTGGAACATCAAAGAATTCTTATGTAAAAATTATTTTCGAAGTTATCTTGTTGACAGAATACTTTGTTGTTATTTAAATAAGCGAAAGTTAGTTATATCTTGTGTTTATAGTGTATCGAAAATATTGTTGTTATTTTTTACCTTATATAGATAAATATTATCTGATTATTAAAAGGCAGCTGAAAAAAGATCATCTGCTGGGTATACTCTAGTTACAGTTGAGTTGCATATTTAAACCTAGTTGTCGCCTTAATTCTTTCTTAATATAAGGACCAGGTGCCATCTTGTCAATCTTCTTCTGTTTGGGTATAAATTTATTTGTACCTGCTGCCAGCGGAGTTATATTGGTTGTTTTAAAAGAAAGTTAATAACTCGTATAAAAGAACACATTAATGCTAGTTTATTAGTTAAGTCAAACATACTTACACACGCCTTATGTGAATGTAGACGAATTATGATTTGTTTAAGACCTTGACTAGGGCTAATGATGAAGAAAACCTTGATATTAAGGAGACTCTGCTGATTTACAAACTGAAGTCCGAGATCAATCTTCTCATTTCGGTTTCCAATGAAATAAACTAATTTGTTATTGTTATGTAGACTAGAATATAACCTATTTTTACCAAATAATTCAAAGGAACTCATCCAACAAATGGACCACGTTACAATACTGGTGTTAGAAGTGATACAA